AAAAAAACAAATGCACAATACATACAGAACTTTGAAGACTCAATAACAAGTCAACCCAATTACAAAATGGTCAAAAGACTTGAACATTCTACCAAAAGAGTTCTACAGCTAGCATATAAGCACACAAAAAAATGTTTTATGTCATTATCATTAGGAAGATTAAAACAGAAATCATGAGACATTATTACAGACCTACTATCATAACTAAAATAAAAAAAAGGTTGACCATGCCAACTGTTGGCCAGGAGGCTCTCATATAATTAAGGTACAATGGCACGAACACTTTGGGCAAGTCTGATCACCTCTTAAATAGCTAAACAACGTCTCCCGTGTGGTCCAGCCACTTACTCTGCTGAAAACAAGAGGCGGCACGTGTCCACACGAACCTTGGTACATGAATGTTCACACCACTTGTCTTTGCAGTAACTCCAAAGGGGAAATAATTTAAATGCCCCAAATTAAAAAATAAGTTGTGCAACATCCATATAATGAAATATCAACATAAAAAAACATAGATGAATCTGAAAACAAGTAAGCTGAGTTCAAGAAGCCAAACAAAAATCAAAGTACATACAGCATGTACCCATTTATATTAAGCCCTGGAGACAGGAAATAAGGGTCAGTAGTTGCCCTAGACAGGCTGGGAAGGGGCATCAGAAAACACCGGGGAATCACTGCCTTGGCTTGGTAATGATTTCAGGGGCATATACAAATCTGTGTGTGTGTGTGTGTGTGTGCACACGCACGTGTGAAAAATCACAAATTGTGCACTTTGAACACATGTCTGTATATGTATGTCAGTTATCCTCTAAAATACTATTAAGATTTCTAAACATCAGAAAAATAAAAATGAAATAAGGAAAACACTTGATGTACATATAATATTAAGGTTAATCATGATTAGAGATCACCTCATTTATTGGACACTCCTTATGCAATCATAAATTCTTTTCTAACTTTCAAAGACAAATACAAATAAAATTTAAAACTAAACCATAAAAATCATCTATACATTACTCTGTATTTGGTATATATTCACTGATTCTTGCTAATCCTACCTAAGTTATTTAGTGCGTTGTCACCAAGAAGACCATTCCCAGCACTCCGGGAAATGTAAGAAAAGCACTGACAACTACAAGGTTACATTAAGAGTTCTGAATTAAGAGAAAATATATTTAGATGGAGCATTACGTACACAGACACAGAGTTCCTGGGTAATCTCAATCTCGAAAATCTGTTTTATTGGACTCACTAACATTCGTGATGTTTTTCTTTTCCTTGTGCTAGGCTTAAAGATGGTGGGGTGGGTTTGGATTCCTCCTCCTGGCTCACAATCAACATGACCTTTCTGGCTCTGCCCAAATCCAATTGCTCTCGTCTTCCTCTGCCAGGGCTGGGCAGACTTCTGATTGCATTTTCTGCAATTTTTTCAATTTCCTGCCTTTTAGAAGGCTACAGCCGAAATGCCACTTTCACTTGCCTGGGATAGATATTTGCAAAAACAAACCCCATGTCACCATGGGGAAAGCAGCTTAATGCTTTTCGTAGGTGCTCATCTTTCTGTGTGATCACTTTTCAGCCTTAGGAACCGATATGCACTGCTCAACTGTCCTGCAATTTCTTTCCCTCTTTATATGATAGCCCTGAGTCATAGGCTTGTTATAATTAACAAATAATTGACATATCTCTTAGGCTTCTCTTATTTTCCACGTAGTTTCCAACAGCTCTGGATTCATATTCACAAGATTTTGTAATAATGCAAGTCCCTGGACTGATACTTTTGAGCGGGTCTGTGTAAAAACCCTACAGAGGACAGAAGTGAACTGTTCCTATCACACAGTGTTTAGCGGAGCTGGGCGCTGAGAGAAGTGCTTCTTACCTGGGAAGGCTCTGACACAGGATTATTTTTCAACACGATTGAATCAGGAAATCTTTGTTGACCTCTTGGCAGTGTTTAAACACAAAACCCTTTGAAAGTCCCTCCTCCTTTGGCTTCTGGCACTTCTGGTTAACCTGTTAACTTCTCAAGTTTATTTTGACAGCTCTTCTTCCTGGTTTACATGCCCCCGAAGTGAAAAAGGAGACATTGGCCAGGCCTCTCCACACTCAACCAAAATCATCCTACGAGCCCTCGTTCACAGCTTCCTACCTCTCCCTGATACTCCTCCAGCCTCTCCTCTCCTGCTCCACAGATGTGCACCGTCATAGAAGGAAATCCTTAGCTACTCAAGGACTGCCGAAATGTGCCTGGTCCAAAACTGCACGCACAGCACAGCACACATCAGACTTTGAAGACTTAACACCAAAAAAATAAATTCAAGTAATTTCACATTTGTTCTACAATGAAACAATAACATTTTGGAGAAATCAGACGAAGTAAAATAGATTAGCACAATTAATTTAATCTAATTTCTTTTTCTTCTTTTTAAACATTATGACCACTAGAAAATTTAGTATGAAGGATGCAGCTCACCCGACATTTCTACCTGTCACCACTACTCTGCACCTAAATTCCAAATGGGACATGCTGGAGACTGAATTCATCATGTCCCAGCCTCTGGCTTGCTCCTTTTCTGTTACTGCCGCATAAACACCAGCAGGCGTGAGCTAGGTGAGTTCCACAGCCCGGGCTGTTGCTGCTGAGGACCCTGCAGGACAAAGGAGCTGACGTCAGAGTGGACCACGTGCCAACAGGGTGACAGGGAGACTCTGGTCATTGTGAAAGAGGCTGTCAACAGCTAGTGAGGAGCAGTGGCAGGTAGGAACAGAAGCAGCCGGGTATTTGCCAGAAGAGTGGATACAGTGTATATGAAGTCAGAAATGTCAGTAGTTACGCACTTAATGGTGACACATTCACTGAGGCAAATGAACCACCTTCCTGTGCCAAATACTTTCTTACATTGCTGGCTAATGGAATCTTCTTCACTTTTCCTGCAGTCTATGGTCATTTGCTCTCTACTCTTTCTGTTAGTCCCCATGGCCAAGCAACTACCAAACCCCATTTACTTCACCAGCACCTATTTCACCACATGCACATTCTTTCCCTCCTTAAAGACAACCGGGGAAGGGAGATCGCACACTCCCCCAGGGCCTGAGGATCAGGACAGGGTGGGGAAGAGGACGGGAGAGTTCACACCGCAGCCCTACACTTGCGCTGGGAGCCTCACACACTAAGGCCCGCCTTTGTGTCACAGACGACTCACCACAAACTTCCGGTTCTTCACAGGTAGCCTCCAGCAGAGGCAACAAGAATGCACATGGCTGAGAGGAGAGGCTGTCAGGGGCCCCTTCATACAGGTGACCTGGGAAAGGGTCTCGAGCACGACAAAAGCCTCTTTCTTCACTTTCCCTTTTCTTCCCTCACCCTCACCATTCTTACGGCTTTCTCCTTCTATGCACATGGACTTTGTGCATAGACTTTCAACACTTCCCACAGTGGGGTATGCGTTGTGGGCGATCTGGGACTTGAAATGGAAGAAAGCACCGAGATTTTAGACATGCCTGATGTTTATGGCAACTGGACAATAACATAATTCATTAAACTTTTATTTAAAATTATAAACGTATATTATATATGAAATTTGAAGTGTTCTGAGCAGCTTAGAAATGCTATTCTTGAACCAGCTGACAATTGCCTACGCGTGTGCTATCTATCACATATTTTACCAGGCTACTTTTTTTAACAGGTTCATTTTTTTAAAAGACTGTATCTTATGGCATCATAGGTCGTACGTGGCATTGTAGAATGTATATTTTTAAATTAGAAGCTTCTTCTTTTCTGAAATGTGAACACACTCATATAAAAGTGACAACATTTTTATTATTCATTAGCAATTCTGTTTTTTTATAATTTACTCTTAAAAATTGCTACTTAGACTAAAGGGTGCTTTTTAATGCCAAAATTTGCTTTAAGGAGCACTTAAGCCTAATTATGTGCCACAAAAACAGACTTATAATGGAAAGACTGATACATTTAAATATAAATGGGGTTTATTTGCAGAGAGATTCATATCACATCTCTCCACTATAATGTTTGAAAGATAAATTTAAATAATTGCCTACAAATTACAAATTGCCATTTTCAGAGTATAATTCCTTCCAAGATGTGTCATATGACACATCTTGGTTTGACTAGATGCAATTACCTGGAAATTTTAACTCTTGTCTAAATGATCAACTTTGGACACACATTTCAAAATGTAAATGATTCTGGTTGTCATAAGCTCACAATTAAGATAATAAGCAGTAAAATTATATTGTACGAGCAGACAGACAATTGAGTGGACTGTTCTGAGACTAGGTCTGGCTATGTAGGACAGGCTGGCCTTGAACTCACTAGTTGCCCTGGTTGGCCTCGAACTCATGATCCTCCTACTTCAGCCTCCTGAGGGATGGGATTACAGGTGCCTGCCACTACATCTGGTTAACAGGTAATATTTTAATCAGTTTTTCCTAATAGATGGAAGCTGTACATATATATATAATATATATATATATTATATGTATTGTACATAGGTTTGTGTGTGTGTTGTGTGTGTAAAAACATTCTAGGTGTTTTTCACTGTATACATACATTGAAGTCTACATGCAAAAGTTTCCCTAACTGTATTCTAGTTAAAGGCAAGAAAATCTGAACCACAGATTTAAAACAAAACAACACATTTGCCTATCATGTGTTATTGATATGCTAAACACTCTATCAAGTAGAATTCTGAATGCTACTAACTGTTCATGCACTGTATGTTTAATTCAACCTACTTCAAATTATAAATTATTACACATTTTATTAAGTACGTTTATGTGCTTCAATTTAGGAGGGTTCTATCTCCGTACTTCGACAGCATAAACCACTACAACACACAGCTCAAAGGCTGCCATGGCCGGGAGGGAGGCGGTTCCGTGTGCTCAAACCCACCCTTCAGCGAGAGCTGGATGCCACCGAGAGACTCGCTGGCCTGCACGCGCAAACTCGGACTAAACCGCAGTGTCCCCCGACTTACCTTCACGGCTCCGTTCTCGTGCATGGTGATGCAGTTGTCTGGGTCTTCCGAGAGCTGGAACAAGGCCTGTGCCGTAGCGCGATGCACATTGGTGTCACTCGACTTCAGGTAACGCACTAATGGAGCCACTGCCTTGTGCTCGCCGAAGGCCACTCTGTTTCTGCCCCACATACAGCAACGAGAGATTGCCTCTGCCAGGTGACGCCTCAGTTTGTCATTATTCTGCCCAGAGGAAAGCAGACTGAGGAAGTGTGCTCGCTGGAAGGGTCCCTGCTCTCACGTTTGCGCATTTTATTACTTTATTATTCCCTCCCAAGGTGCCAGTGAGCCCAGTCTGAGAGATGCTAGCTGGCCTCTGAGGTGATACCCTGAGGGGACTACCCAGGGGTCACCGGGGGACTGAGGTGTGATTCTGAGTTTTCCTTTCATGAATGAACTGAATGCAGTCAGTGCTCTCTGAGGTAAAACCAGTATCTGACCTGAGTCTTTTGCTCAAGGCTTGCTTTAAGCAAGTCTAGTCACGACAAAAACTTATAAATCAACAAGTTGCCTAGTGATGAAAATATTTATAGACTACTGGATATTCTTCAAAAATACTTCGCTTAACCAGGATAAGGGGAATAAGTCCATTCCTTCAACCTAGGAATCCGTCTAGTTCTTGGCCATAACCCTGTTTCCCAAGAAGAAAAAGACAATGACGTCTATTGAAACTCTGTTTCCTTTCTGAATTCATTATGCAGACTTCATCCCTCTTTTTGTATGTGATTACCTCCTAGAGGTCTAGTGTAATGGAATAAGATGGTTTTCTATTTATCGGCTGTACTGTTTACTTGAATCAGGAAGTAACCTGGGGTCTGTCCCTGAGTCTGGTAGGTCCTTTTAGGAGCTCAAACTCTTCTAGACCAAATACCCTTCCAGTGTTTAAAGTTCTGCTCTACAGCTTTTCTTCAAACTGGTCATCTGTGCCTTGCTCAAACAGGACGGCCACAGTGAACTTGTTCTTCAAGGCTGCCTATTCTCTCTGGCCCAGCTCTAGATAAACAACAGAGCAACTGTCAAACACTGCTAGCCCAAGAATGCCACCAACCCAAGTTTGCTAAGTTGGAGAAGGCACAGTTCTTTTCTAATGTTGGCAGAAACAACGATCTCAACGATAGTCAAGATGGTGGCGATGAAGTGATAGTTTACACTCACTTAATAGCATTTCTATTTGCCACCCCTCTGACGGCCAGTGAAAAATAAAAGACAGCCTCTACTCTGCAAGGATCTTGTACATTCACATTTTATAATTTTGTGTCTATTAATCTCAGAGAAATTAAACAAGTTGAAGAAAATCTCATTCTGCTTAAGCGATGGAGATTAAATCTGAATTCAGGTCTCTGAATTTCAAGCTCATTATTTTGCCACTATTGCGCGATCTGATAATACACATTTAAAATAAAAAGATGTGTCACTTACTGTATTTGCCAGCTTGGACAGTAAAGGTACAACTCCGTGATCCGTAATAACAGCCAAGTTTTCTTGATCTTTTGCTATATTGGTAATAGCAGCACACACACTCGATAGAACCTCTTTGTTATCCGATTTCAGTAGATTGACAACAAGTTCCAGACCACCCACAAAGGAACGAACCATTTCTCCAGCATCCTACATAAAATAATAATAATAATAATAAAAGTAAGTCTGGTATCAAACATGGCACGATGGCACATGGCTGTAGTCCTAGCACGTTGGGAGGCTGAGGCAGGGGGATAACAAGATCAAGCCCCTCCGAGGCAACTTAGCAAGACCCTGTCTCAAAATGAAAATGTGAGGAGGGCTGGGGCTCTCTTACCAGTAGCAGAAAGTGATGATAAGGCTATGAAGATACCTTTGGGATGAAAGGTAAATTCAGTTTTACGTATTTTATATCATATATCATTTTAGGTATGCACATGTGATATTCATACTAGAAACATATCCCTACACGTGTGTATAAATATAGATATAGACATGCCACTTACACACAAAGTTCACTTCGAATAACTATTATCTGGCAGCCATGGTGCGAGATACTGAGGATATAGATGTTAATACTGCACGGCTGAGTCTTAGCATTTGCGGCACTTTCATCTTACAAAACCACCACAAACACCCATCTGGTCAATATCTGAAGGGCTGCTTCGAAAGAAAATGCACAGTTAGGTTTTGTAAGCCTGTAGGCACAGAATTGTCAACTGATCGATATATGACCTTGCGTTACATGTTTCCGTTCCAAGACGCCTTATTTCACGTATATTCTTAATTCACTGCCACTGAGCTCCCCGCCAACAGCACCGGAGGTCACGCAGCGGGACTCGCCATCCACAGCTCACGGAAGCCGTAAGGAGGCAGCACCTCAGACAGCTCCACACAGATGACCTAGGGCCACTTATTTACAGCTGAGAGCCAAAGGAGGCACAGCACTGCGCTCACTTCTCATCTGAGAGCAAGGGCATGACATGGCCCCTCATCCCCTTTCTGTGTGTGCCTAAGAATGGCCTGCCTCTGCGCCTCAAGGACAACCTACCCTGGCCCAGGCCTCCGGGGAGGCCCCATCCCGCTTGCTCATTGGTTAAGGTGTCTTCTGAGGTGTCTTGGAGTCTTCCAGGAACATTTTTCTGTTTATAAGAAAGAAATCATCACAGGTCCCATTGAGAAAGGCAAAGGAAAAGAGGAAAATAGCCTGGGTCCTTCATGAGATTGTTGAGTTGCTGAATCAACTAATCCTAAAATCTGGTTTGGACATTTGTTGGCCTTTTGTTTATCCTGTCGCATGGTTTCCTCGTTGGTCCTTCGTCCACTGTTAAGGTTTCTTTCTAGTGTCCCCCAAAACCTCCCTGGCTCCTCCCTTCTCTCTCCGCTTCCTGGCCACCATGAGGTGAGCAGCTCTCCTCTGTCCAGTCCCTGCCACCACACGGTTTCTAGGTTTGAGCTGCCAAACCCAAGCGAAACCTCTGAAACGTGAGCCCAAATTGATGTGTCCTCCAAGTTGCCGGTGTCAGGTATTCTGGCCCAGCAGTGAGCACGATGACAACAGCACCCATTCACCTGGGAGCTCTTCAACAACGGACACCTGGTGGCCCTTTCATCTCCCTGGGGATACAGTACCCTGCCTGTCACTCAGGAGACAGGCAATGAGTGTTTGTTGAATTGTGCAGTAACAAAAATGAAAAGAAGGCTGTAACTTTAAGAAGCTCAGCCAGAGTCACAACACCAAGAAGGTGGAATTACACACGGATGAGATCAGCTGAATGAGCCAAACGCCAAAGCAGCCCTGGCCCTCTGCTGACAACCTCGCAGAGCCTACTGACTTCCCAGTTCTCTTCTGCGTTATCAGTAGACAGGAAGCCACTGTCCCCAGAAAAGTGACAGAAGTGATTACATCTGCCTCATATCCAAGAACTCCCTAAGGTGTACGGTATGAGATGCGGGGACCCAAAAGTCTTCGTGACACATGGACCCAGCTCACCGAGGTCTTGTAACATTTACTGTCCACGGGACAAGGAAACATCACACTCCGAAGCTCTGGGTCCCTCTAAAGTTTGTTTATTTGTTTTGAAGGTGAGGTTTCTTTCTTTTCCTTTTTTAATTTTTGTTTTAAAGATTTTAAACATATGACGTCTTGCCTTGCATACTTTCTGTGGAAAGGGAGACAGTGTATTTGAGGATGGAAACAGTAACACCCCTGCCAAAACTCTTTCACTAATACTCAGCGACTGGGCATATTCACCACATTTTCCACCTTCTCACATGTCTTCAAACTAGTCTTGGAAATGTGCTTCTGCAACAGGAAAATACTTAAGAAGAAGAATAGCAACAACAATGGCTGCCTAATTTTTGGCAGTTTACAAAGGACTTCCACTTACACTATTTCATACGATCCTTACAAACGCGCCTTGAGGATGCATGACATCTTCATTTATAACCACCAATGCTCAAAACCCATGAATAGCAACAAAACTAAAAGTTAAGATTTTTAATTTCCTCTACAATATTTCCTCTGTCTTCTTTTTCCCTCTCCATTCTGTGCGTGGCCTAGGAAACAGTCATGATTAAATTTATCAGACTTAATATAGCTTAGAGACAATCAAAAGATTCTTTATGATTTAGGGGATTAATTCCAAAAGAGATGAAGTTATGTTAATAATTAAGTTACTTTACTAGTGATTTTGCTTCTAAGACAAACAAAAACAACAATTGAAAAGAGAATATAAAACACCTTCGCACATAAGATGAAAAAATATAAAATAGTAAGTACTGACATTTGGTTAAAATTCAAAAACCAGGAAAATATTGAGACCTTATTTACAGATTAATGAACAAAACAGAAAACTGGGTATTTTGGCATAGAGCAATTAAATTAATAGGAATGAAATTCCTTTGCTTGCCTCCAGCAAAAAGAACTGGCAGTTTTCTGATGAGGTGAGATGTACATAATACAATTTTAAGGCACACACGACGCAAGTGTAACATGACTTAAGACAAAAGTTTTAACCAGAAGAGCTATAAAAGCACGGCTACATGCACATAAGAGACCATACCCTGCATAATACAGTGTTGGAAAGATGTTTAAAAATAGCACACTGCCAATAAAATTTTTTGAAAACCTTACAGTCACATTAGAATAGCATATATCAGAGAAATCCAAACTGAACAGCCAAATCTTGTCCTCAAAGTGTGGTCAATAAATTAAATCCTTTTAAAAATCTAAATGCAACCTATATGGGCTCGGGAGAACACAAGAGTTTGTTTGTGCCTCTCCATCACAAGCAGATCCTTGTTCTGTTCCCAGTAGTTAACGCGTCCCACAGCTTAAATAAGTCATTGCACTGAAGCAGAATTACCTTGCCATCCAAAATGCAGCCTTTCAGAAATGAAAATTAGGACATCACTCACTACCGTCTTCCTTACGAACTGGAAGGAACGTAGTTTCAGGTGAAAAGAACGGTGCAGTCCTTACACTTCATCTATACACAGCACAAGTATGGTATACTTTGAGGGTAGTTTATATAATTGGTTGCCAAAGAAGTACAGTACATAAAGTAAATGATCCCGATTTTCTTCTACTTTCCCAACCTAATGCAAGATAATATTCTTAATATCACAGACCACTGTCTTCCCATTTTATCAGGCCCTGTTATTATTTTTCTTTAGATGCAATGCTCCTTTAATGAGGGGGTCCACCTGTGAGGCACCATTATGCATCTAGAGACTTTCAGAGCTAATTACATGACAATCTTAACCATATTTGAAAGAGCTTTATTAAGTACAAGGCGCTAGGGCCGGGGATGGATTTAGCTCAGTGGTTCCGCCACCTGCTTCACAAGCCCAAGGACCCGCGTTCGATCCCCAGTACCAAAAAAAAAAAAAGTACAAGATGCTAAATAAACATCATATCATAAAATCTCTTATTTATAAATTACATTTGTATATATTTGCATGTACTTTATATATGCATATGTATTCTATTCTATACAATATTTCCATTTTCCTCTACTTATACTCTGTAACCTACAGATTAAGATGAATAAAGCAAATTTCCATTCAGATTCAGGCTGCTGCTTCTGAGGAGGGAGTTGTATGGATGACTCCAAGAACAATGCTTGAAACACTTCTGATAGAAAAAAAATAACAATATGAAATGTTGTACTCCAAAAAAACAGGGAGTCTTCAAATTTTTGGAGAGATTGTTTTCCCAAAGTTCACTTTTTGGATCTGTTACATCACATTTTTCTATAAATACGTGGCTAGTGCACCAACTCAGCAAATAAGTATCTACTTAACTCAGAATGAAAGTGAAATATAACTTATTAAGTGTAGCAAATCCTCATCTTCCTGAATGCTTTTCTAGTATTTGAAACCAGTTGTAAGTTCTAAAGTAAAAATATTCAACCAACTCATGTGGCTTTTCTAAGTATTACATAGAAATACGTGTATTGCACAAGGTGAAATTTACATCTAATAGTTTCTTATATATGAAAACTGTTCAACTTAAGACAATAAATGATATGCTAAAAGTTCCTTAAGGAGGCAGAAAATATCATTTTTAAGACAGTAGTTCTCAAACTTTATTACACATTAGAATTACCTGGTGAACCTCATCTTTGACAAAGGAGCCAAACACCCTCACTGGAGAAAAGATGGCCTCTTTCATAAATGATGTTGGAAAAACTGGGTTTCAACTTGACAAAAATTAAAACTAGACCCCTATCTTCCACAGTGCACTAAACTAAAATCAAAGTGGATCAAAGATCTAAATACTAAAAGAGAAACACTAAACTTGCGGAAGAGAGGTCGGCTGGACCTCTTGAAGGTACAGGCATAGGAAAAGATTTTATGAACGAATCCTCAGTTGCAGGGGAACTAGCACAAAGAATCAACTGGGACTTCATCTTATTGAAAAGTTTCTTCACTGCAAGAGAAACCACCAAAAGAGCTAAGAGGCAACCTACATTTTCACCAGTTATTCCTCAGACCAAGGTCTACTATCTAAACTATATAAAGAACTTAAGATAATCAGCACCCCCAAATTTAAAGACCCAATTAAAAAATGGGCATCTGAAATGAACAGCCATTTCTCAGAGAAAGATGTAGAAACAGCAAGCAAACATATGAAAAAATGTTCC